TTTCCACATTACCTAATCTTTTGATTGTGGAGTGTTTGCTTCCTCGCTTATTGTGTCCTTTAACATAATATGATTTTCAAGGGTTTCTTTTTGTCATTAGCTAAAGAAAGAATAGGTCAGAAAAGACAAAAGAAAAATCACCATAGTTTTTAAGACTTCAAGGGGATTATTGCACTTGTACAGAAAGAAAAGAATAGTATCTTTTTAACTAATAGCAGAAGCAATCATTCTGGGATTGCAAATAACACATGGTCTAAAAGGTCCAACTATTAAGAGCAAATATGGAGCCTGAAGACCCCCTCCAAACCTGGAATATTATTATAGTAATGTTAAAGCATTTTTCTCCCAATTGGGAGAAAGTTAAGACTCTTTGCTCTACATTTATAAAATCTTTCTAAATATTTGCAAAAAATCGCCTAGTCTTTCATGATACACATTTTCAGAGGAAAGCCAAGTCCGAATGTAAAATCCAACAAAAAAGGAAGGCAAACATGCTACAATACAATTACATAATTTCTGAAGTGATGTTTTAGGTACCCAATATTTGAAAGTGAAAGTAACACGAAAGTTACATAGCTTACTATTTTTAATCCAACCAGTTTTCTTTTTAATATAAAACTACACTTGAGTTATAAAAATATGTCAGCAGATTATACAGCCAACAAAAATCACAAACAAAAAAATTAAGGACCAATAAATTGGAAGTAAGAGTTGACCTATCTTCATACTAGTGGGAGGAAAGAGGCAAAGACATTCAGAGACAATGATGGAAGGGAGACGGGCAAATGAGAGAAAGGTTGGGGGAGATAGTACAAAATTTAAGAAGAAATAACAGAACTTTGTTACACAGAAGGGCAAGTGATTTATGCTGAAAATCTGAGAGTGCTTGACTGTCAAATTTTATCACAGTTTCAGAATTTGAACTACTTAAAACAAAAAAACAAAAAAACCCAAAAAACCAAAACCCAGATTCCTTCCCTTGTTACAGTGTATTCACTTTAAAAAAGAATCCATTTCCAGTAAATTAAGTAAAATCCTGATAAGTGCATAGTAGAGAATTCAGTGACCTCCACTCATTCAAGAAGCTTTTCTTACTGTGTGTCACTTGAGGTAATTTGAAAGGCCCGATTCACTGCAAACTGGCTTATTTGTACCTATGTGAAGTTCTATGCTGTATTTTATGTGGCTTAACACAGGGTCTCTAAATTTTATATTTTATTCACAATAAAAAGGACATCTTAGAAAACTAGTCATTCATGTACCAGTCTCTGTATGGGATAAAGGTTAATTCACAACAAATTTATACAGAAAATATACAAATGTAATGTTATGGGAGAAAAAGCCCATAAACAGAATTATGAACTTATTCCTAAGAGTGCATGTGAAAAAATATCCACAAACTTACAGTACAGCAAGATAAAACTGAAAAGCTAGAAATAAAATATTACATAAAAACCTTATGGAAATTTCAAAGTTTTAGGTTTTTGCAATAAATGTAAAAATATTCAAGGTGTCATTATTTGGCCTAGCAATACACTATGATAAAAAGAACACTAGCATATCACAGCTTCTTGGTCATATGACACTTGCTTTGTATAACCAGCAGCTCTTTTTTTAAAAAAAACTTTCACATCCTAACACATCCACTGCAAGTAATACACAACCATGGCATGTAACGATTTGAGAGTATGCTTTGGAGAATAGCAATGCGATATGACTGTTCAGTTTTGTTTTGTTCAAGGAGAATTGATTACCTGCTTTTTTACATTATTCCATCAAATATTCACAGATTAGAAAATAGAGGTTCCAAGAGATGAAAATCCAAAACAATACTGTTATTTTATTGACTAAAAATTCCACTTATGTGATACAGAATTTATTCTTCCTTAAAAACAAAACAAAAACATAATTCAATTCACAGGTAAAACTTCACTGTACCTTATATTTTACCTGCATAATCTTGTAATGATATTCATAAATACTATGAAACTAAGAAGATATTAAAATCTGGTTCCAAAGTTTCCTTTTAACAGCTGAGCTGAAAGTTTCTGTATTGGAAATTGCTCTAAAGTTTTGCCCTAAGAACACAAATATGAATATATAGTACTTAATTTTAAGTGATTTTTAAAAATGCATATTAAAAGTGTTATAGAGCTACCACAGCTAACCAACACTCTCAATGCATTTTA